CAGCAAAGCTCCTTTGAGGCCAGCCAGTGAAGCAACATGATTGTGCCACAGTTTGAATACCATACCACGAGAGCACTTTAGCCTGCACACGTTGCCAAGGACAAAGTTGTTATCATACTGATTATAACGCACTAAATGACATACTAGCATAATTATGTTCAGTAACAGTTCAAAGGATGAAATCAACTATCAAATGCATAAGCATACAAGAGCTAGGGTTTTGGCATGCATGCAGAATCCTATTTTGTTAAGGTGATCTTAGAATAATGGTTTAAATAAACAATGCAGAGGCATATCCAATGCAAGAATTTTTGAAGACAAAACATTCATCAGCAATGCAGTGAGGACAGCAAGACATCTGATTCTCAAGGCAGTCAGCACATGCAGCAGTGGAAACTGTGTTCTCTCAGCAGCTTTCTAGTTCTTTTCTCTCTCTGTTTTTATACCACTGCTTATTACAGTACTGTTCTAGCAACTTCCATGGAAAAATAACAGTAAAAAATTTTCCTGTGGACTTTAAGACATTGCTTTTGAGGCAAAAGTCTCCTTTCCATTTGGGAGAGGAGTTAATATTGGGTGTTACAAATTTTACCATGTTAATCAACACACAGTTTGATACTTACAGGATTCCCATCTGGACCAGGGGGGCCTCTATTTCCAAAGTCACCTGGAAAACCCTAGAGCAGAAAAGAGAATGCTTGGTCTTTACGATCCAAGACATGAAAGGTGGTCTGAACACTGAAATCCTATAGGTATTAGAAATTAGGACATCAGGAAGTGGATTCAGGAAAAGAGGAATGGGAGAAGCAAAAAGTTTCAGTTGCACAGTTCAAATGAATAATGGTATTTGTGTCCTAAAATCATAACCAAAAAAGATAAAACTATACACAACGTAAGCATAGGGCAAAATCAGACGACTGAATTGCTTTAAGAGCAATATTAAACAAGTATTACCTGAATTGTTTGCCTGGAATCTGTTTTCCTATTTAGTACTTTTACTTCAAATATTTTTTTTTCCTGTTACCCACAGCACTCACTAAAACATCTGTCTTTTGTTCCCTCATTAGTCTTCCCCAAATATTAATGGTTGCAGTCTCAGTGTGACACATGTTCATTAGAAATCGAATTTTTCATCTTTCTGGCACAACACTGTCCTTATTAATTTGAACACTTGCCTTATTGTTTGAGTCTCTAGATGCAGACTAACTCAAACAACACATGGAAAAACCTCACTCATCAGAGTTCAGAGACTAGATTATCAGGACAAGGAAGAAATCTGACTGGCCAAGTCAAGCGCTGAAGCTTGAAACAGAATTTCTGTTTCTTGCTTGAGAAGGATAATGAAATGGAAATCCACCACTTTACTGGCTCTGAACTTTCTTGCTTCCTCTCAGGGTTTTGCAGATTGTTTTACTTCTTTCTGACGTTGCCCACTGCAGAAGCACATGAGCTGCTGGGGAAAAGTCGTTTGTGGGTTTTTTTGGTGTTTGTTGTTTTGTTTTGTAGTTGGGTTTTTTTTAATTCATTTTTATCAGCGTACTATTGCCAGGTAGATCTCACTATTTTTCTGGAAGAGCCACATGAAGCTAATAGCAAACTCATGCTATTAGTTTGAAGCAGCACAATGCAATATTTTCATTATTCCTATTGCTGGATAAAGTTAGGAGAAAGGATGGAGTACAGATCCACAGAGAAGTCAACATCCTTTTTAATTACATTGTAAGGTCCATAGAAGAGCCTATCACAAAATTTGTAAAAAAACAAGCTGGAAAGGCATTCTGCCTGGAAGAAAAATCTAAGCTAACACGCTGACAGGAAAGACACTTTTCCTGGAACTGAGAAATCTCACACAGCAGTAGAGTACTGAGATAACGGAGAGATGCATTGACCTCAAGAAATCAGCCGCAAAGCACCAAAGCATTACTAGTCCATCTCCATGGAGAAAAGGAGCAAATTCCATTCTTACAATAATTTTTACATGACATAATCTTCTTCGTCTCTTCAATGTTTGAATGTCATTTTACCCCTCCCTATGCACCAGGAACAGTATTTTGAAGCATTAACCTTTCACCTCTGTAAGACTGTGTTGAAACCTGCTACAGGTCAAAGGTACAATTAATTTGGCCTTTTAAATCTACCTTGTTTGGAGGACATCCACATAGTTGTCCAGCTCAGGACTTAGTATAGCAGTGCTTTCCTGGAATGGGGGATATGCATCATCATAAAATATTATATGAGCAGACGTCAGGAAGACAATATAAAACTGCAGCAAGGAGGTGGAAAAATCGTATCATAAACCAAAGTAGTTTAAGTACTGCTTATGCCATATTTGGCTTTAGTAATAACTTAAACCAAAATTCTAAAAAAGTTAATGCCACGTTTTATGTGTGTGTATATATATGCATACACTCTGCTAAAACAATATGTTGAAACAACTTAATAGGCTCTGAATTCCCATCATCATGCATGATGTTGTGAATTAATCTGAGACATGCTTAACACTCCCTGTACCATCCTTTGGGTTAATTTTGATTGGAGTTTTTTTTCTGCATTTTCCTGCAAATTCAGGAAAGCAAAAGATAGGAATTTTTATTCAGGATCTGATCATGCAACTCACAAATAAGAATCTATAGCCATAATTGTAAGATCTGACAGTACAAGTCTTTATATCATCCCTGTCTTATTTAAAAAGTAGAGGTTCACAGGTTAATTGTCAATAAAGCAAATTTCATTGATTCTCAATCTGTACACCACTGGCCAAATTTTTGCACAACTCTGAAAATATACTGTAAAATTTAACTCACACAAAATGGGTATTTAACAGTGCCTATGTTGTCAAAACCTAGCAGCTGATAGGATGTAGACAAAGATTAATTTACTACCCTTAACAGCACAATATTTTGGTTGTAATGCCTACCATTGGTAGATGTTGGAAGAGGCAGAATTACTGTAACACACATGAATATCAATTTTTTTAAAGAACACACAAATGGTGCATCAAAAATGAAACGGAGGATGCAATGGGACAGCTTTACTAGCCACCAGATCATAGATGCAGGTCACAGACGATGGTTTATATTCAGCAAAAAAAGGAACCCAGCATACCAGGCATTATGAAAGGGACAAATTACCCACAGTCATCATAATCCCATTCTCAACAGCACGTGTCTTCTAACACGCTGATAAAATTATCTTAGTAAGTAGAAAAATGAAAGGAAAATGCAACATAGGAGAACAGTCAGAAAAGGCTAAAATTGGAAGTAATATAATACTACTACTGTGCAACAAGTGTTTTATTACATCAATATTATCAGTTAACATTATCAGTTAACTGATGTTAACATTAGCATACAAAGGATGACTATTCATAATTTTAAGATAAAACAGAACCTGAACTGTTTTTACAGTTACAATGGACTTGATTAATAAATTCTTGCTATAATTTACAAGGTCTGTTCTGTCACATTGACTGCTGGTTGTAACTAAACCCATATAGAAGAAAACTATGTAAAAAAATTCCTCTAAATGTGGTCAAGCTATGTATGTAAAAGCACTATGCATCATAGTAACAGGACAGACAATGCATTAAAAATACTGCAAAACTAGCCAAATCTCAAATTACAAGCATACAATGGAAAGAAATTGAATACATATGCTTTTACTATGAAATATTTTCTTTAAAGCATATTGTATGCAAAACTAATCTAAAATTCAAACAAATCCTCACTCTATAATCTTCACAATAAAGATTTTTGTAATTAAATATTTTGTTCCATTTCAAATGCCAGAGATGTTACAAATATGAATAACTATTCAATAAATGTGCTAATTAGCAGTATTTTGAATTGTAAGTGTACAATTCCTTGTACAATACACTTTTCTTATACTTTACTTTCCAAAAATGAGATCCTATCTGGGATCTGTTTTCTTTCAGAAGGATATCTGCCAGTCAGACAGGTTTTTTTCCCAAGTATTATTACTGACAGAAGTTTTGTCCAAAGAATTAAATTGCATAGAACACAAGGTGAGGAGCCTGACTTCAGGCACTATGCAATTCCCATGCCAAATTTCCTTTAGCAACAATGCCCGGCCCCAAAGCACTGGCACTACTAACTCTGGGACACTGTGTCAAAAGACATTGTCATCACAGCTATCATTGTCTGGGCTTAAAATAACACACACTCTCTAAAGCTTGCGATTCAGCAAAGTACTTCAAGCCAGGTTCCCATCTGATTGCTCTCCTGGCTTTGTCCTTTACTAGCAGCCTTTAGTCAAATAGGTACTTCATAGATCATAGAAAGGATTTGGAATGAACCTTGGGATTGAGGGAATGACAACATGACAGAGGAATCAGTACTGAATGAAGGTAATTATGGACATTGTTCAGAGGTGCTTTTTCGTGCTGTCACCTATGTGAAACCTCTCTGAATTGATTTATAGAAATAAAAGTCCTTATCAGAGCACAGCCTGGCACCAATAGAAGCTGTGCTCTTACTATAAATGAAAAAAAACCTGCTTACCACAGCATGCACAGCACCAACTGTTAAAGATTGAAACAAACTACTACACTGGCAACCAGAAGCCTCAATGAAATCTGCCACGGAGAATGAGATTATAATGCAAAACATATTCTCAGAGTACCCTGCTGTCATCTTCTCTTCCTTTAGCACACTGAGCACAAGCTTTTGCTTTCCATCCAGATTCTCCTCCTTCTTAAATTCTACACGTGACTCACCAGCACAGCACACAGCCAACTACTGCAAGGTGCTGATGGCACAGACCCCTTCTTGCCCAACACTCAGATGCACAATGTAGCATTTGATTAAAATTATAAGCAAACTACAATATGGTCAACAAGCATAGGAGCACCCTGTCCTGCTAGCTGAATAATTAAAAAAAACAGATTCTTACTTTGATTTTATACCTTAACAATTTGACAGCAGCTTCAGAAAGAGTAGTCTATCAACTTAATGACACTTTTCTTTGCGTGCCTTTACATCAAAAGAAAGGCTATTGAATGCTAGTTCCTTTTTTGGCTGGTGTTAGATCACACAGAAAACAAAATATAATTAAACAGAATCCTCCACAACTTTCATAGCATACATCAAGGGCCAAACAATGGTAATCACACTACTACTGCTGAACAAACTTGTTCAACATGCTAGATGAAAGTAATCTGAACTGCTGAGTGCAACTGAGTGCACAACGGGAGAATGCTATTGCAGTTTCCAATCTCAAACCACAAGCAAGTTAAAATTGGAAACTCTTGGATAGCTTCAAAGACTTAAAATAATAAGATTGCAGCAGAACACAAAACACTTGGCATTGAAGATATACCACAGGAAATATGTAAACCTTGATAATGTATACTTGGCAGATTTGTGTTTATTCTCAGCTGTAGAAATATGTTAAGTAGAGGACAGCTTTAATTTACCATAGTACAGAAACATGAGACATTAGAAGCAGCTCATTTGCATTCAAACCAACACCAAAACCAGACTTACGAAGCTTGCATCACACCTGTACCTTGTGCTAATACTAATTTTATAGAATATATTTATGTGTTTCTCTCCTCTTTTAACCTTCAGATAGCTGATATCAGTAACCAGTCACAAGGCTCATCATGTTAAGTTTTCCACACTTCAGAGCATCTAGCAGTTATAACCTGTATAGAATTTGCAGTACAGCAAAGTACTAACTGGAAACAACAGAAAGTCACCTATGGAAAAAAATAAAACTAACGTTTTTCAGCTGATTAAGGTTACAGAGTGAATTACAGGAGCATTTACATTGGGAGCAGAAATTGTAACAAGTGTTAGAAGCTTCACCTGTCTCCCTTTGGGACCTCTTTTTCCACGGAAGCCTGGGATGCCCTGAGAAAGAAATAACCCATCATAAGTAGATTTTCTTTTCTTCAATAGCTTAAATTCCAGTAATTAAACCTGCATTTGATTGGAAAAGACAGTGTGAGAAGCACCATAAAAAAAAAAAAAAAGATTTGAGCAAAGAATCATGGACACAATGTCCTATATCAGGGGAGCAGAAAGGCAAACTTTGCTTGTCTTTACTGTGGCCACATCAGAACAACTATGAAGAAGGGCCATATCCTGCTTCCACCAAAGTGTATGGCCAGACATCCTTTGTGCTCAAGAGAAGCAAGAAAAAGCTCAAGCACAGAGTGACAAAGCTTAAGATTTCCATGACTGGTTTTATTGCAAACATTATCTGACAACTGACATATTAATTATTGACTGAACAAAATATCTTCAATGAAAAATACTCATTATGGACCTTGGTGGTATGAAAAAAATACCTCTAATCCTTGCAGCTTTAGATTAAATTCAAACAATAAATTTATAGCTGCTCCCCATTTAATTTTAGCACCAGTGCATTTATTGATTAGCCTAATTGGATATGACACATTTATTTAATTTCCTCCACATCAGTTTTGCTTTTAGACAAAGACTTAAATAAATAGTTATACCTTGTACATTTTTCCCCATTGTAACATATATTGCATTACCACACAAACATCAATATTTTGTTAACACTCCATTAAACCTACCCTTTCTCCTTCAGGTCCTGGTTGTCCTGCCACACCTGGAGGTCCAATGAAACCCTAAAAAGATAGGAACAACTCTTGATTACAAGGCTGCTTCCCACCAACACTGCTTGTCCCTTGGCCAGCTGTGGGTTCAAGACTCAGTGATTAATTCAGACTCATTTGAAATTACCAGTGAAGCTCAAAGAACTTAAATGTGACTAGGATTTACTTTCCAGCCAACAGCAAAAACAATTTCCTATTATAAGGTTTACAGATCAATTAATAAAGAAGTACTAAGAAAGTGTTCTAATAAGACAAAGTTACATCAGACACCTTAATTATTAGAATAAATGAAATATGAAAAAAACTGCTGAAGTTAACCTTATTCATTAAATACATCAGAAAAGATGTTCTTATCTTTAAGAATGCTGTGTGATCACTGCTATATGCAAGAGTCCTAGAAAGTTTACCTTGTCATAACCAGAATGTTTTTCTTAATGTTCAGTCACAATGCATTTCTCCCACATTCTCCTCAGAAAGATCCTCTCATATAATCAGTTATATGGACACAGAAACATGCTGTGGACTCAGCAGAAATGAGAGTACAATTTACAAAAATAGTAGTAGACATGGATTCTGCACTACCAGATTCAAACTGAGATTAGAGAAAAAAATATTACTAGTTACTAAAAAAGAATGCCTTGCTTTCACCTCTCTCTCTTTCCAGTCCTCCAATTGTAACGATTTGGGCTTTTTGGATTGCATTTTTTTTTAATAACAAATTATGAAAGATAGCACCCATCTTGTCATCCAGCCCTAATGAGAGTGAAGAAAACAAAGATACTTCTCTTTTTGCACAGTTTCTTAAAACAGCTGAGAAGCAGAGTATAGTCTGATCGCAGGAATCTTCTAAACTTAAAGCTCTAAAGATACTTCTTATCATGTTGCTATACACCTCCATGGCACAGTAATGTGCCTCAAGAGGGCTGCGTCATTGTTTTTACTGGCAGTTGCTTGTAGAATTCCTACAGAAGACTTAGCCTTGAGACCTGAGAAGTGTTTTTCCCTAAAGTTACTCATACGTTGACCATTTTTAGCTTTGTGTAAACAGAGGAGTAGTAACTTTTCAGGAAGTGACTGGGATCACTTAATGTCTTGTTTGTTGAGGGGAAAACGAGACAAAATGCATTGAGAAGCTGAGCAAAGATAAACTGAAAAAATGTAAAAGATACAGTCCCTGAGGGTGCAATATTTGTTGGCACTTGATCCTGACAAACTAATTTTTCCCATCATTGTAATGAAAACTGACATCAAAAAAACCCCACCCCAGAAAACCAGACACATCTTTAAGAAGCTTCTGCAGGTAAAGGCTTTTAGTAGCCACATTAAAAAAAACATGACAAAAGAAAACCTAGCAACACAATAAGATTATTTTAATAGATGAGAACACAGTACATTGCTCAGCAACCTGTACAACATGAGCTGAGGGCCTGAAAACACGTAGCAAAGGGCTCCTTCAAATCCTAGGTGCAACCAGCAACATGCAAGTTTCTGGAAATCCACATCTACTGCCTCATGGTGAGAGTCAGTCTGAGAGAACACTTAGATACACAGAAGTACATGTAGGCATGCACATGTGCCTATTATCAAAAAACCAAAACACAAACCCAAACAAACCCACCCAGAAAAAAACCAATCTATTTTACCTCCAAGAATAATCAAAAGCAAACCTTGAATCAGCAGAGCCTTCAGTCCCTGGGATATACATGACTACAACTGAATCATTCTAAAATCTCAACATCAATTTTATGGTTTGAATGTGACAAGACTGTTTCACTTTATCAACTTCTGTAGCTGTTAGAGATTGCAAATGCCAGATACGTCTCCCTTCTTGACAGCCTCCATTATGGAAATAATGCTTCAGGCAGGAAACATCCGCTTCTCTTTATTCCCAGCTCTCACACACCCACATTCAGTATTGCTTTCCTTTCCTTCTGTTGCCTGTATGCATTCCAAGTGAGAAGGGCAACAACGGAAGACTGCTCTATGCTGCTACGCTGCTCACCATGGGAAAAAAAATAAAGTCCTTACATGCATTTTGAAATAAACACTATGTTTTCTCATTTATAGGTTCTGTAAAGATAGCGTGGTAACAACTGGCAGAGCTGAATGAAACTCCTCATCCTCTTTATGTACTGTATGGGTAAAAATAGACACGCATGCCAAAATGCTTAAAACGCATACTTACTCTTACACCTTTAGGACCTGGGTTACCTTCTGGTCCAGCTAAGCCCTATTACAAAAAGACATGAGTTGTACTTCATTTTAAACAACCAGATATGCTCTATTTAAAAGAACTGTAACAGCATTTGTTAACTGTAAACTGGCAATACATCCTTAAAATGACTAGGATTGAAGAGCGTGTCATCAAGCAGTCCTCTGGGATCATGTTCAGAAAGGTCTCCCATTAATTCATGGCTGAAACTTAGACAATGACTGAAATTTCTTTTATATTAGAATTATTCCTTCTGGGAGGAAATTTTTTTGCAGACTTAGTGATCTGGCATTACAGTGACATAATTTCACAGGATTTTTCCTAAGCTTTTACATTTGGACACATTTCCAATTATTTTCAAGCTAATGTCAGGATAGCATATGTAGTCCAAATGCTCTAAACACTTTATGTGATTCAACACAAACATGTTATCATCCATTACTACATAAAATACTGTAATTCATATACCTTTATACGGGTAAAATAATGAGTATTTCTACTTTAAGTCTTAATTTGTATTACTGGACTGAGATATCTGCTAGCTTATATGTAAATTAAAAAAAAAAATCAATGTTTATATAAGTGCTTTTGTTTATAGAAAGCTGCTTTCGGGCTTTGTTGGTTCTCCTTCTCAAATATCTGAAGGGTGGGGGGTGGGGGCGTGGAATCTTTTAATGTTCTGTTTCCCTTAAGGGCTGAAGGAATATTTTCAGCAGTGAAGTAAATACATTGGTGAATATCAGGGGGAACTATACGACAACAGGCAGTTTCCTATTGCTTTTGGACTTGAAAGATGAAGAAGATAAAACACACAGAACCACAAGAGGTTTATGAAGGAGCTTAAAGTGTTTAGACACTTGGTACTTTGGTAATGCCATTCATTTATTCCAGAAAGGTACAGCATTACTGCATCTAACCCATCCAATTTTAAGACCATGAGACTCAATATTACATAAAGGGCACTACCTGTGAAAGAGGTTTGTTTCACGGATAAATGACAGGATGTAAACAAATACATTTACACTATTAGTAGTTCCAGAAGAGTTAGATATGGTACTTTTGAGAAGAACAAACAAGAAAACCCCCCAAACTACAAAGACATTAGTATAGTTACTGCACCTGCCTGCCAGGGTAACCAACTGCCCCAATATTGCCAGTCATTCCTGGAATTCCCTAAGTGGAAAAAAAGGTGGGGAAAAAGGAAAAAAAAGGAAAGAAACAAACATGTTTAATGTCATGTTTTGGAGTTTATTTGTTTTATTATTTCTCTTTTAACATCAAGTCATATGACATAACTTAAGCTCATGGAAAAATTGCTTTTTGAGCAAGCTACACAGCAACACCCTAAAATTTATTCATCATACATAAAAAGCATTACAAGAAGACTAGTCTAAGATTTTGTGAAATACAACAGTGCACCCCTTATTTTCATAATAAAAACATAGACACTATTTATAAGAAGTAATTGAGGAGGACTATAGGAGACAGGTCCTTATAATGAAGTAACTGCACTGGTCTTAGTTGTATTTGAGTAAATGTGTTAAACGTTTCATTGAAGAAGAATTCTTGTATCCTTACAAAGCCAAATTTTTTTTGTGTCTTCTAGAATCAGGTCAATATAGCACTGGATTAGTCATGAATGTATAGAACTTCTCTCCGTCTTCCTCCTAATCAAATCCAAAAGTTATTTTTCTTGTTTTTTTATTACTTAACATCAGCACATCTAACCATTTATTTCAGAAAATTATGTGTTTCTGAAATGGTGTCAAATACCATGGGCCCATCACTGAGACATAGGAAGCTCCACCTACCTCTGTTCAGTTAATTTTAAACAAGCCGAGTCCATAAATTGGACACTCTTCCAGCCTGACCCTTCCACCTCAGTGTTACCATAGCAGTGGCTCAGAACTTCCTCTCCAAGCTGTTCACAGCTGATTTATGGTGAAACATCAGTCTGAAGAAGTAAAACTCAGAAGTGCAGACGCAAAAAGGGATTGCAGTATTTTTTGTTTAAATGAGCTGCCATTGAGATGATTCTGTCACCTGCTTTCAACGAGTAGTGATTCATCTTCTGACAGATGTTCTATCATAGAGCTAGGACCTATGGTCTCCTATTTTCACTCAGCTGTATCTCAAAATCAGTGTATATGAAAAAACTAAAAAAGCAGTAGATTCAATGCATTTACAACTTATCTTTTAAAACTCTTCCTTTGTTACCAGCTGTTCAAGGAGTTACAGAATTCACAAATTCACAATGAGGAACGTCTGTCCTCAGTGTACAAGTTTCTAAAAACTACAAACATGGGTAGGTGCTACAGATGACAAATAACCAGTTTAACTCATCGCCTTCACCAGCCAGGCCTGAAAATACCAGCAGTAAGAACTATGTGCAAAATAAAACTCTTTCATCCCAAATGTTCTCTTAAAAGTTACATCAGAGTATTTTCCTAATGATAATAATGAAAGAAAATATTTACAGGAGCAGTATGAGAACAGTGAGATATCAAACAGTTGCACACCACTAGTTTTCACATTCTTGAACATGAATTGCCTTTGAAGGAACTTACATGCTCGATCACATGTATAATGAGCAGAATTACTTTTCAATGCAAGCTTCACTTTTTCCCCTCTATGGTAACTAACTGATTACTTTTCACCTGCAACTTCTTCAGAGATTGAGACACTTTTCTGATGTTAAGAATGACTTTTTTCTTTTTTTTTTTTAACACCAGCTATCTCTTTATGTCACTGCTAAATTATAGTCATCACAGAAAAATGCCTGTGGGCCTATAATAAAAATCACCACTCATTCAGTTAAGATTTGTGTATAAAACTCATTAAAGTAATGGACGATGTTCATGAGTTTTCATTTCCCTTTGGGTGTCTATCATCTGTTACGATTACTGTTTCCCTTTCAGTGTCATCCAAAAGGAGACTCAAGCTTCCATGTACCCTGCCATTAGGAGCCTCGTTAATGATAACAAGATGCATGAGCAATTGGATGTCTTTTAAATTTACATTCAGATTGCTTCTTCAACTGACATGAAAGTGAGAAAGAGCACTAAATCACCATTTCATTTTCTACATGCTAGGAGATTTAGAATGCATTAAATCAGTAGAGGTTTTGAGAGAATTCAAACTATGCCTCTAACAAGAATTTTACAGCAATCTGCACCAAGCCAGTGTGGTAGTTGAAGAAAAACAAGCTGTGTTTTTCCATTTCATTTAGACTTTTTTTACTACATTGATCTCTAAATAATCTGTATTCTTAGTTAAGAACTATCAAGTATTTCCATAAGCAGTCAGCAATTTACACTGATTGCTTCTGCTGAACACTTACATCAAATTATGCATTCTTCTATCCTCAATTGTTCATCCATAGAGTATAGTGTACTGTACTTTCATCACCTACCTGCTCACCCCGTGGCCCTCGCAGTCCTAGATAACCCTTAAGACCCTGCAGATAGAGAAACAGATACATGATAAATACAGTTAAACACACAAAATGGACCTTTTTTTCCTACTCCAATCTCCCTTTATCAAGAAAAAAAAGTATCCAAACTTGTTTGCCTGCAGCCTTAGTGTGGTTTACATTTAGGAGCTCATATGAAAGCTGAGTTAGAGAAAAGGAGTAAGAAGAAGAAATCTTCATGGCAGTTTAGACATTTTCAAGATATCAGCATGCTTAAAGACAGTTCGAGACTTGCACCCTTTTAAACAAATGAGTACATGGGATGCTGTTGTCAGTTATTGCTAAAACTGAAGAACTGGATTCGGTGCAGTGCACTTCCCCATTCCAAATCCTTGTCACTATGCCCTTTCTGAACAAGGCCATTCAGAGAAGGGGTAGAAGTAGAGGGTCATTGCAGACTATTCTAGGTCACTCTCAAAAAAGACAGACCTTCCTGGACACATGATATCTCTTTTAAAAACTAACATAGAACAAATTCCAGCCCTTATATTATGGAATTTGAATCAATAGGGAGAATAGCCTGTTCCTCATCCCAGAAATCTTCCCCATGGTGCCGGAACCATGAAGCTGTCAAACTTTACTCCCTGTGCATTGACCATTTCATGCATATTTCAGCTCTTAAAGAAAAAAATGAATTAAAAATAGTGCTGGAACTTGCCATCTGTATCAGTACACTTGAAAGGGGAACCTTCTGCTTGGACATCTTTACACTGTACTAAACATACCCAGACAAGCTGGCCTAAAAGGGAAGCTCTAACAGTTGCATGATTGATACAGAAGCCAAGTGTCTGGTTTTCACATCCCTTCCAAGAGGTATTGGGAATATGCAAGTTCCAAAAGCTGCAGCTTGAAAGACCAAAACAATCCTTATTCTGGATAGAAATCTATCATAAACTGGCCTCAAAGACATTGACTGAGTAGTGGGAGTGTCTTGGCTGATGTAAAACATCTGGCTGCCTTGCGGCATGATGATACTCATTAGTCAGTAGAGACTTGAGACCCACTGTAATAAGAAGGAATTCTGCAACTGATTTCAGCAGACCAGGTATTCCAAAGTTTTCGATAAGCTTCTCCATGACCACAAGACTATTTCTGCATGAAATTAATTTTCTTATCATATAGAAAACTAAAAGATGGAGCTATTTTGTTTGGTGATAATTTTAGATAATGGAAGAGAACGACATTCGTAAGGCTTCAAAATTTGCAATTTTGCTATGAGAGGCTTGCTTGAGGAATCTTGATCCAAAAGAGATGTACTCATTAAGAAACCCAAAGGCTTCATTTTCTCAAAACTCAACACAGCAGGTGTGTCCTTTCATTTTGCCAATCACACACAGGGCATTACCAGTTTGCAAAATTATAATGTATTCTGGTTTCAATTCTCTCCTGTAGCTTAAGTCTAAATTTATATACATTCTCTTGTATCTAAGAAAGAAGGTCTGCATTGCTGGGGGGGCAGGGGGGAGGAATGAATCTGTAACACAGATAGCCAGGAGCTGATCTTGGACAAATTCGTTAGTACAAAATATCCCAATTTACTACATTAATGCACACCTAAAACCAAATTTTTTATTGAATTGCTAAAGCAGAACTAAAGATGCCAGCATAAGCCAGTAACTCATCTTTAGCTTTCAAAATGTGCCTCAGAAAGCCATATAGTTTATTGTCCCAGTCCACTCTGCATTTCATGAGTTTTAGCCATTTCAGAATTTTATTCTGTCTCTATGTTTAAATGATTAACTAAAGTAGGTGTTGCTAGAAGAGATCTCTCAGTAGTTTACTATTTCTGTACAAAGAGAAAAGTAAAGCAAATGCTGCTATCCACAGAAACACTCAAAGAGAAGTTTATCACAATTTAGTTTGAAAGTGGGTCAGTTTAGCTGGTTAACACCTGCATGGACAGTCTCAAAAGAAGGCACACAAGGAACTGTGATATGAAGAACAAGGACTGATTACTGGTTTCTATACAAGAGCATCTTACTTCTGCCAGAGGAAAACTTCTTTTAACTCATATTTTATAGTAGTACACACATATTCTTATTCAGAGCTAACACGGCCTTAACTCATTCTAACTCACTTAATGCTGGTTGGGAATGAAGCTAAACCATGCTAAAACGTGTATCATTCCAAAGACAGAGTTTTCACCCAGGGGTTTCCTTTCCTGTGACTTTGCTAATCCTCTTAAAATTCTTAGGTTTTTTATTAGTTTGGCTTCATATTCTTGAGCATACTTATAAATAAGACCAGAGCCAAGATGAAAGTAAACAAGAAGCATACAAGTTCACATGCACTGGTTTGCAAAATGAAGTACCTCCCAATTTCTAATGAAGATTAATGCTCTGATCTGAAAGCTCAATGTGGAAGAGAAAGGTTTGAAGCTTCCAATTACAGCAATACAGACTTCAAGCACATTACAAAAACACAGCAAGTTGCAAGAATACTTTGGTCTGTGTGACAGAAAAATGTTTACTGCCAATTAATACGACTCAGAAAAGACTTCATAGTGAGTTTAAGTATCTGACTTCTACTATATGCCTAGCACAGTGGGACCCAAATTGAGTGAAGTCTGTATATAGCAAAATGTAGATGTTAAATCATAACAGCAAGGACTGTTCAAGCCAAGTCTTTCCATCCTACTGGTGCCCATTGTGTTTTATTAGAATTTCTATGCATTTGTTACTAAAATACATTTGGCACAACACTTGCAACTTTGCTAGAAAGCCAAGAAGTTTCTGTAACCTCTAAAAATCAGTAGGTGAAGTGTTACACCTAATCCCACAACCATCAGCTACAGAGTGATATTAGTCTTTCAAAAGTGCTGGAAAAAATGTCTTCTGGGCATGGAGTAATCTAGAATATAAACAGATTTCCATGCACTGTCACATGAGCTTTTGCAATACTTCCTTATCAGCTCCATGTTGTCATCACGCAGCATCCAGTTCTGAAAAACTTCTTTTTTTAGTTCATGGTTCCATTCTATCTTGTTTGCTGATTTTTATTAACACAACTAAGATTTCACCTAGCATCTCTTAGCCCAAATATCCTAAGGAATGGAAATACCACTTTAAAAAAAAGGACATATAGAGGATGGACCTTTTCTTCATCTAACCCAGTAGAGGAATTTCTCTCACAGAGCTTTCCTCCTGCTCAAGGAAAACTGCACTCTCTAGGAGAAGCAGTGGGAGACATTTGGTAGCATAATGTTGACATCACTGTAGGTACTGCTTTGAAATTTATCTATCTGCCTTATCCTTTAACAAGATGCAAAAGTAAAGACAAAATGCAGTAAGTAGCCCTTCTCAGATTGCAACCAAGTTTTTTCCTTCAACATGTCTTACCATATTCTACTTTAGCATATGGATTTTATCAGAATTTTATAGATACAGATTCCCATGATTTACTGTTACACACATATTAGGGAATAAAGTTAGCCCCAAAACTGTAGCCAGTGTTTTTAAAAATCTTTTCCAATGTCATTGTAAAGTACCTGCAACCGCACAAGCACTGCAGTCGCCCTAATATATTGACATGATCCCAGGGAAGTTAATGCCCAGGAGTAGTGTCCACTGGTTGACGATCTACCCCCCAGAGGCAAGTATTCGCCTCTCCTTACAGCTAAATAGGCCCTTTTTGGGGAGAGGGGGAAGAAGGGGCCTTCTGCTCTGAGAGGTCTCTGGACTGATGTAAGGAAAGTTTTGGGTGCCGATTTAAAAATGGTCCTGTCAAGATAGCTCCAGATACGAGATTCTGCAATTGCTCTGGAAACAGCACCCTTCTCTAACCCTCATCTCCTGCCATTGCTTCTCTGCTTCAAAAGATGCCTGAAAGAAACAGGCCTCTAAACACTTCATAAACACGCAATTTTCTGTTCCTAAACTAAAACAAATTTGGAGCTCTACCCGGAGCAAAACTTGACTTTTTATAGTGTGTGTTACAGGCATGAGAAATATGTCATATTTTATATGCAACTACAAGGACGCATACTTCGATACATGACATGTAATGAAAAATAGTCAACCACAATAATCTGTTCCCAGAGTCCTGGTTACTAACATACATTTGTTGTACTATCTGACTAAAAAACCCTGTAGATTCTCAGCTTTATAAAACGAAACACATCGTTTTATAGTTCTAATCCAAAACAGTAGCTTAGTAGTGCTGTTCTATTGCATTGAGGGTTGAAATTTTCTTTGGGGGGTGTGGGGGGTGTGGGGCGTGTGCTAAAATGAATCTTTCCAAGAAACTCTCCTAACATCATCTCAGACATTCAGAAAAATATAATTAAAGCACATGGAATATCGCTTCTCAAAGCCATTCTTGTAAAAAAAAAGTGAAAATAATATGCCCACTTGTCTCACACTTCCAGGACACATTTTTGCACAAGTACCAAACAACATTGCACAGGAAGCTCAGAACCAGGCAAATTCTGATTAGAAAAACTTGTTAAATGCCATTTCCTCCACAGCTACCCTGGAGTGGGGTAATTACACCCCATGGAAAGTAGCAGGCATTGCAGCACACCCCTCCACTTCAGCTCTCCAAAGCCACCGCTCAGGTTAATGGGAAATGGATGATGAATTCCATAAAGAAAAAACCTCAAATTTCTAGGTCTTTCAGAAAAACACTGACAAAAGTCAGTATCACGAAAAGTAATTGCCATGAAACTAACAGAGATTTTTATTACGCTATTAAAAATATCTTGAAAAACATTAGAATTTCCATTCATTGACTGTCAAAATCAAATAGAATTTGGGACACCATTAACTCATATGCAGGATTTTTTTATCTTCCTTTTTACCTGGATGAGAAAGAATATCAGAAATATGTTATTTATTCAATATTATAGCAATTCCCCAGTAGTACTGGGGTACAAAACAAAAATGGAAGTACTTGATTTTTCTGCATTTTTTTCTTGTAGCTAGTTTACTTCACAGCTACTTGTGCTCATATTCCTTTGAAAATAATTTCTGAGATCACAATGAGCTAACAGTGTGTTTACCTATTCATGTATGTTGAAACGCAATAACTAAAGATTATTTTAAAAAATTATTTAAAAAACAATACATTGTGGGCTTGTCATTAAAAAATTAAGTGTGAAATACTTTTAACTGTTTACAGGTGTAGTGCTGTTCAAAAGCTGGTATTCTTACAATCTGGGTCAGGCAGAAGTTATCTTAAACACGGTTCTAGTTAGTGTCTGATATGTACAACATGGAAACAGAGAATAAAATTTCCAATGATCAAGTGAGCACAATTCTCCACAGAGTCTCTAACTGTCAGATAAGGAGTAAATTCTTGTGGCAGGAAGAGCATGATGGCCATAAGATTTTAAATTTCCTTGCCTCATAATCCAGAGCAAGGGACAGCTACTTTCCATCTAAAAAGCCTTAAAACAAAAACTACTTTGTTTTTGGAGCAAAACTATAAACCTGACGAAATAAGAAAGCACAATACTTGGGGAATCTCAAGGTGGCCCAAGATCAGTGGTGACAAAAGCTATCAGTGTCCAGGTCTGTAGGTTAACTCTCAGAAGGGACACAAATTCTTGTCACAGCTATACATTTTCTCAGTTCATAAACCTGTGCGCCACACGTTTGGCAAAATAAATCTCCACACTCCTCCTGGTGCTAATTCAGTGAAAGCTTCCTTTTCTATTCACGTTTTTACTATGGTTTGGTCAATTCTAGAAATGAATGACTATACAAAAAAAAAAATTGTCATATACTTTAAGGTCAAGACAATGTTGAATGAAGCCATCTTAAAACATAACACTGAATATAAATTTTGTTGCAACGCCATTTTTCTTTCATTTCAATAGCAGGCAAGCATTTAATTAATATTCTTTCTCTATATGACAAAAATTAAGGCAAAAAATACCAGGGCCTACCTTTCTAACAATTCATTCCATCCTTTTGATGGACACTTTACAGCTATCTTCAGCGCTACGTACTACTACAAAATTCTGCTGTCATATCTGTTCTCCATGTTTTTTTATTACATTTGCAACACCGAACTATCTTCCGCAAAGACAGCATTTAATAGTACTTTCCCCCCAGCTTTCTTGCCAATTTTTGCCACCTTACCAGTTTGTCACCATCTGACTAATCAGAGCAGCCTACTGGACTTATGTCAGGTGACCTCTCCTTTCACATAAACTACATTCACTCCCTCAGTCTTCTGCGCTCATTTTCTTAAGGTTGTCTCATTTCCTCTATTGACATCCCTCATGTTTCCCTCCCAAAATTACCTGTCTGCCTTATGCTTTCCTGTATATATAGGACTGCCATAATTTGGATGTATTTCTTAAATGCAGTGTGTGACACCTGACATTTCTCATATTAAAAAAATACTGCATTATGTAGCATCCAAAATTGCAACTTACTCCACCTGAGTCCTATTTTAGCAATTCTGGTACACATTTGGAAAAAAACAAATAATTCAGTGCAGAAATACTGAGCACATGATCCCATAGAGTTTTTTTATACTCAAAATACACAATACAGAAAAAAAATGAAAATTGAACACAATTTATTCAAAAATGGTTACATCTTGCAGACAAGTCTATCTTCCCTAGTACCTATTCTGTTCGAGCAGGGGCACGCCATGCCTTTTGAAGAACACCAACCTAAGCAGCTGTGATTTACGTTCCGTTGCAACAATCTCACTTAATTTAGTTGCAAGGGAAGGTTTTGTACTGTTGGCCCGGGAGCCTGACATAGTAGACAGTTACAGTACCGACAGAAGGCCTTAAATCTTGCTATCGACTCTTGACCACCAGGCATCCAGCTGATGGCCACTGATTTGAGCCAGGGAGGGTTACAAGAAAATGGAAACAGAATCTTACCTTCTGCCCTTTGATCCCAGGTGGTCCTGGAAAGCCTATGGGGCCTGGATCACCCTGTACAACAAAAACATCCAGCATTGCTGTGTTTCACTGGAACATAACACAGGCCTATAAACATGTAGGACATCATATCTTCTCTGCATTCTTGGACATTTGGTACGAAGAAGTAACTAATGTTGTTTTATCAGGCATTGGGTTTGTTTGTTTTTTTTTGGTTTTTTTTTTTTTGTTTTTTTTTTTTTTTTTTTCACACACACACACCAGAGAATTCAAAAGGCAACAGTTCCTCAACTGCAACCACCTGGTGCAATATGCACACTTCTGCATCATACAACATGGCCAAGTCATGGCTGGAACAGACTTAGTTCACAATCTCACAACACTTACTTTAGCCAACATAAACGGGAGTGAAGAAGCTATACAATTCTTGAGGTAACCTTTCCCTCAGAAGTGAGTGGTTTCACCTCAAATTAATACACATTTAACTATTACTGTTTATTGTTTGTATTATTGTTATGCCAACAATGCTCAACCAGGAATCAGGACACCATTATGCTATGTGCTGGATAAAACATGGCATAAACCCAATCTGTGTAAAAGACAACATGAAAGATGCATACAGACAAAGATGTTACAATGTCATATGGCTATTCTCATTGGAGTTCTTTAAACTTTTCAACTACATGATGGCACATGTGAAGGAGAATTACAGCATCTCAAATGCTAAGGAAATAGAAAAAGATGTATTTTTTTAATCGTTGCTGCATATGGGGGAGCAGGGAAGGTTGTCTCAGTTCTTTTTTTCCTTGCTCAGGACTGACAGCGAAGAGACTTGCTCTTTCAGGATTATTGCCTAAATTCAAGTTCAATGAGTCAAGAAACAGATCCTGGAAGTGAGTTAGCATCAAAGCAAATTCAAGTCCATTACTTAGAGTGAATAAATTTGACTTGGGTGAAAAATTAAGAATCAAAAATAGTGAGAACTACAAATATGCATATGAATCCCATATTTTTGGATTATAGATGCATTCTACATGTATTTAGGTGTAGGTCATACATATACATGGGTGGGCTTTAGACTGTTGTGGCATCTTGGGCTCATGCCAAAGAATATATCCTGAGTTTCAGATAGACACGTATAGCTCATAACACTATGATTAGATTACCAAAAGCAAAAGCTTGTTAGATTAAAATAGTGTTGCTATTTCTACAAAAGCTGCACTTCTATTTTTTATCAGTGCATCAACAGACACATTTCTGAATTTTGCTCAGCAGCTCTTTAACATTGAAAATATATATTTGTGAATTTTAGGGTTTGACAGAACATATGCATTCAAAAAATATGTAATGTACACCTCAGCAGCTAGTAAACAGTAGTTATTTGCTAATGGGTGCTTCATTACGGAGAGTGGTCCTGGACTCCTACAGTGTATTCTACTTAGCACAAATGTTCCACAATTGAACTACTAGCAAATATTCTTAATAAAATTTAGCATCTGTTAGAATATCTTCTATTTATATAGCATAGGCTAACACATTATAATGCAAACATGCAATTATATTTTTAGTATTATCACATTGATATTCAAGTTTCATACATAGTCAGTAGATTTGCAATCTAAAAGTGAAATAATCACAAGCTTTGAAGCCCACAATTTCTATGAAGAGCCGTTTTAAATATTTATAATCAAATATTTTGGCCAGAGAGAGCAATTGCTAGTTTGGATAAAGTAGCTTAGGAGGAACTAGCAGTAAAAGCCTCTGAAGTGAAAGGACAAATCTTAGCATCAAGAGTCTGTTAAAAAAAGTGGTTAAATACAACATGATACGAGATTATGTGTGCACTTATCACCAAATTTTGTCTGTCTTACACAACTTTCTGGACTAATGGAAGGTATTAAAGAAAACTGGAACTTGTACTTTGTCATATCAGTGTAAACAAAATTCAGTTTCATCGTTCTAGAAGTACCTCCCTTTCACTTTTTTTTAGATTTTATTTTTATAGATAAAATCAAATATATAATTTAAATTTCACCTTTGAATATAACTTTTTTTTCTTTGGTTTATTACATTACCTGTATTTGTACTGGTCAGTCTCACATAATTAAATGTCAAAATACACCAGTGTCACAGTAAATACAAAGCATTATGCTGTTATCACTTGCCTGAATAGTAAACAAGACTTCAACAAAAGAATGGGACAGACAAAATATTTTTCAATACTTATGAAAATATACCTTTTCTCCACGTTTTGCCTGTCCTGGAGAGAATCCTGGGTCTCCTTTAGGGCCCTGTCACAGAGAAATTAAGCTCATTAGTATAATCAGGGAAGAGATGTGGAAATAAATACTTTCAACTTTTATAGCAAGAGCAGGGAGAATGAATGCACTTATTATTACAGATTTCTTTTTTTTTCATAACTTTCAGTAAAGATATACAACAAAATATAATAGTGTGAGTTCACATCGAAATGAGATTTACATTTTCCAAACTTCATAATGTCACAAAAGCTTTTGATAAGAAGATTTTATTGGTAAATCCAAGCAGGATTACAGCAGATACCGCAGCTGAAATGCTCTCCCCATGTCTCTCCCACTTCAGGAAACCACCTATACCCCAAACACTGTGCAAGATTATCGGGCTGTACTACTTCATTGATTATAATCTTGTCCAGGCTTCCTCATGCTCACAAACATCACACTCCCCACGCAGCACAGACATCATGGCTGGGAAGGACAGAGATGTAAGCATGCAGCAAAGGCCTTTGCTCAATCACAAATTACTTCCTAGCAGATGAGATGGCTCACCATTCTTGGCCAGGAATTACTGCCCACATCCAAGACTAGGCCACAGAGAGTGGAAGGATCCTGCCACACCAATCTCTCCTATTTCAAATCCCCACTGCCAGAGCCTGCTGCCACACAAAGCGCCAGGCGCTGCAGGCCAACACACCACAGAGGCCTGGAACCCGCCACGGGCTGGGGCTGGCCAGGACCAGCCGGGCCTGGCAGCCAGCCCTGCCGAGCCACCAGCTACAGGCAGCTCTGCCACTACAAACCTGCACCCCTCAGAGTCAAATTCACCACCCTTAAAACAGGAATCCCCAGCAAATTGCACCTCCTGACACAGCCCTGGGTGAACTGCTCCATGCTGACCATACAGTCACCTGGGGAGTTGCCGGAGCCATAGGCTAAAACCACATTCATGTACTAACAACTGAAAATACAGTAACTGAGGGGGAAATGGGGAACCCCTTAGTCTAATTCATACTAAAAGTGGTACTGTAACATTTCATTGACCTGTTCATATAAATAGCACAGGCTACAGCACTGCTTTTGATTTCAAAGCTGTAGAGTAACACTGAGTGCTACTCACAGGCATCAAGATCTACTCTTCTCACTCAAAAATATGTTTTACCTAGCCAAGGAAATAAACGCTACTATTGAAGTTATCCCACAGCAGTGCTAGATTAAAGATGATACGTGCCCTTGATTGAAAGAGAGCTGAAGTTGGGAAAAATAGCTGTTCGGACATTGCTGACACAATCCTACTCTCAGGGGCAACACTGGATGCTCAAAGGGATATACAAGACAACCAGCATAAGGCTTCCTGACGGTCAGCCATTTTAGATCTGTAACATACAGGGCTTTCACTTGAATGCTATGGGGCCTGATCCTCCTCTTGCATACAGTACTGCAGATCAGGGGTTATCCTTCCCTCTGCAGCAGCCTCACATGTACAAGCTTGTTGAATACTAAATAAAGACTGGGAATATGGCAAAACGAATCTGCTGTGTTAAACTGATGTGTCAGGTCACAGAAAACACAGTTCTTCAGTATGGCAGGAGTTACCCAAGTATTTTCCAGCTGATTTACAATTTGGAAGGTAAATACTTATATTCCTTGAACAACTCCCATCAATCTTCTGCTTCCATTTTCCAATGCAGGCATATTAAACCAAGAGTTGTAACAAAACTGTGATCAGCTCTTGGCTAGTTAAAACACAGGCCTTCTGATAACTTACCCATCACCTTTCCTTTCCCTTATAAGCACAATTAATTCCTCATTTTTAATCTAAAAAACAAACAGCCATTGTTATGCATGGCCTTCAGTTGTGGATTAACAATGCGTCACCATAGGTCAAGACGTGAGGATAAAATAAAGCGCTTCATTATTTCATCTACGTAACATTATAGTGTAGTTAGAACAGTGCCAGAATCCACAAACTAGATTTTCTTAACTAAGCCACATTTCAGAGAGTCAGAAATACAGCTAAACCTCATGAATACTTATAAATGACTTAAAAAACACCCATCAACTGTTTACCAGGAATTAAATGCCAAGAACATCAGCTATCGGTTGGAACTGCTAGCACACGCTCAGGGCTGGATACTATACAGTAAGGGTATTAGCTAATGTTGTTCCAGGCTTCAAAATCAAGTACATAAAGGATGCTTCAGCACAGGAAGGAAAAATGCACATATCTCACAGGCAGAATAAAATTCTGCATTAATTTACTGCCAGAAAATTGTTGCAACTTGTCTCCAATGTTTTAAGATGGTGTGTTTCTTTTCAGATTACATAGTCAGTGTGGGTCAACTGGATCTTCAGTCAAAAGTCAGTGAGCACCTGGCTAATATTTAAAGTGTTTCAGAAGATACTTGTATTGAAGGGATAATTTATACTCCAACAAATGAAACAGATCACTAAGGACCTAGTAACATATACATATATATATATATTTCATGTATATAGGTACATGCACACACATACAATTCCTTCTACTCTTAAAACCATGGAGACAGCTACAGAACTGATCAGAATTATGAGCCACTGGAGGGGAAAATACACTATAAAACAAATTCTAGGAGTAATTGGTTACAATTATTTTCCTAGTAGTGTATTCTATTATACAGCCAGTATAAATATGGGGAAAATTAATTATGAATCTCTAAGTTTAACCATTCCTATAGAACTAGATAATAACAAAAGAACACAAAAAATAGTCACTTGGTTTTAGTGTTTGACACTGAAAGCTTTATTAAATTTCTTATGTCCTCAAGCAGTTCTTAACACCTGTCATGACACGTCAGATTCCTGCCATTAGGAACAGTACTAAATCAAATCATGGTTGCTGCTGGTTTTTTCCTAACATATCTATCAAATTGTTCAAACTAAATGTGAGCTGAAGGCATTTTGCAACTGCACAAATCTGTCAAATCTATTTAAAGGGTCTATGTTACACAAGTTTGAAGGGTTTTATTTGAACTTCCAGTCTAGTATTTTGTCTTTGGTTTTAAATATCACATCCATAAATCTTCTAAACGTTACTCTAGTATATTAATCAAGTGATAATGTGTGAAATATTAGAATATTTAAATGTCAAAGGTTGGGCATTGACAAAAAAAGAGGAATTTATAGAGAATGACAGTCTATTTTTCTTCTCCCCTCCCTCCCTTTTTCTTTTTTTAAAAAGCAGCGAGGCAAAAGGTCACAGCAATTAAATGTTTATTCTCACTTAAATTCCAGGTTGTCAAAGAGGCAGAGTTGATTTACAGGAACTCTTTTGGGAAGTACAGACTACTTTCATGGGTAACAGTTTCCAAGTCATCATTCTGCACACAGGATTTTTTTTTCCCCTGAATAAACTGCTATTTTGTTTTGATTTGAAGTTCAATTTGATTGATTACATTTAATTAAAGTATGTTTATAGTAACTGTCTCTATCCGTAAACCAAAGAAGGCCAATTGCTTCTATTATAGGAAACAGTTCTGGGGCTTCCAAAAAGTCATTAAGAAGTTCACATATTTACATGGCAACGTGGATAAATTAACTTACCTTTGGACCTGGCAATCCTGGCAAACCTGGATTACCATGTGGTCCTGGAATACCCTATAAAAACAAAACAAAAACCAAAAAGGAGTGGGATTATTCAGTACTCCACTGAACAAGTGTTAACAGTTTGCAGAGAATCATTTTATTGCATCATTGTTGCTTTTAGAAGTTAGGTTGGGATTTTCAAAGGATTCTTAAGAAATAAAACATGCAGATCTTCCTTAGAAATTAAAAGTGAACTTGAGTACTTCCCTTTCTTTTAAAAATCTCGGATTCTATTGTCTTTGCAAGTAATTCTTAACAGGTATTTGGTGCACAGTCACTGCAATGTTGCTTTCCAGCTACAAAACTTGGAGGCATGGGATAATGAGAAAAGGAAGTGGATCAGTTCTCGCTGACTTAAAAGATGACTCAAAGCAACGTATTCCATCTTCTTTAAATAAATCAAACAAACACTCTTCACCAACCTGATTCTTCCAGAGCCAGTGTTGAAAATGGGCTTGTTACTAAAAGAGTTGGACTGAAACCATTCCAAGAACAGAACCGGCTATCAGGACTATCTACGCCTTCCAGGGTAAGTGTCTGTTCCTGCAATACACTCAGCAATCCTCACTCCTTGACAAACTGCACATTAGGGAAAATATTTCTTGCAACGGCTGTCAGCAGCTGTTCATCTTCCAAACACTGAAGGACCAAACTGGTGAACACCTATCCCTGGTAACTTGACAACAAAACTTTTGTTGAATTCATTAAAGCCAAAATTCCACCCAAACAATTAATCTGAATACCAAAAATAAGAATCTTTTTCAGCTTTCTCATATATTCAGTGATCTAACAACAAATAGGCTCAGCGTTTGCCTTTCCCTCACATGAGACTGAATTACCACTTACACCTTGCAGTAACACTGAAAGCTGTATCTATTTAAGTGCTCCCTCTCACTAATGACAATATTGACGTAACACCATAAAAATGCTAATCCCACGTGCTGTTTCAGAGATTAATTTGCACGCTGGCAACTGGAGCACTCTCAGGCACTTAGGAGAAAGGAAACAAATAGAAAAGTGTCAGCATAGCTGCAGTGCTGAAGTGGCTCCTAGCTTTTGCTGCTTGTGGTGTTATATCTTGGGGCATAGTACTGCAACACAGAGGTGCAGAAGTATCCTTGTGAAATGACAGGCACCAAGGGAATTTCATCCCATCACTGACTAATTCTGAAATTGCTGATGTTTCATTATTGAGAAACTCAGAACAAGTCAAGACACTTAGAAAACCTTAACTGTCAGATGTGGACTTCTCTACCACAGAACTACAGAGATCAAAATCAGTTTTTAATGGAAATCTCTAACCATTAATCAGGCATTGATACCATGCCCAAAGCGTCTAACCCATGTGAATCTCTGTCAGGATCATGTTAGGACACACACTCGAGGGATCCTGAAGAAGACCTAGGCAACACAGCTCTGCACTCTGCCACTTCTCTTCGACATCTCAAGTCACATTTCAGGATCACAAATGGCAGCTCACGTGAAGGAAGACAGAAGTCATAGGGCAGACTGGTAGATGGGGACATGAACTTTGCATCAACAAGGGTTTATGTGCTTTTTGGCTCAAAAAACACTATTATACCATGTACCTTCACTAGCTGTCCCTGCTTGAATTTATCAGTGTTGTACAAACTAAAAAGCACTGACACTTCAAAAACATTTCTTTCTTTGATCAAGCAGTTTTATAGACTTTCTTGGCCCATATGAATATGCATTTTAAACTCAGAACTACTGGTAAATATTCATCTCTGCCATTTCCATACTTTTTCAGGCACCCTACTGTAAGCTGTCTCTTCACATTGGAAAGCATGTCGTACTCAATAATTAATCCAGAAAGCTCACATGGTAGAGCACTGTGCTCTTAAGTACTATATACCTGTAAAAAAAGATCTGCAGAAAAAAGCCCCAAACAACAGCTGAGCAAGAGGGATCTCACCAACAAGCATAGCTTTAAACATACGGGCAGCTTCCTCTAAACCAAAGACAACTTCTCAATTGTGAGGATCTACTTGGGTATGTGGGATCCTGCCTCTGATGCCAGATGTATCCTTGACAGAGGCATTATGCAACATAAAAAGCTGTGTTGTAAGAATTGTCAGCTCCTACGTAGAGAGATAATTTGAAAAATATACGGATTTGAAGGAATGCTTTTAATTTTATACTTTCAAATGTGTCTCATCCACTCCCTTGCCTCCAACTTCTGTAAAGTATCAGTTTGCTTTTCGGCCTCTTTGACCAGGGCACTTTCCTACCCAGTCAGACCAAGTTTTGAAAGCCAGCAAAGTACAGGATGTTCAACACACTATTGAGCAGCAGCTTGTTTAAACGTTCCTCAAAGGCTTAGTCAAGACTCCTCCCACACATCTGCTGA